GGCCCAGGCGGGGGCAGGGCTGGGACTGGGGGCGCGCGAGGCCCCCTCTGGCCGTGGGGCGCGGGCGCCGACACCTTGTGCGGCGGAGTGGCGTTAAAGCATGAATGGAGAACAGCGCTGGGGGCGGTGGTTGCGGTGACTGATACCTTCGGGGTCAGTCCCCAGAGGGGGCGATTCGCAGGCCCCCAGCTGCCTCCCGAGCTCCGAGTACTTGGGGGAGGAGGCTTTCTGCTAGTACTGCTGCCACTTCCGAGGCACGAGACTCCAGTTGTTTGGCCGAAGTGGTTGTGGGCCGAGCACACGCTGCTCCGGAGGCGTTCGCGGCTAAGGCAGTGCCTTCCTATTCTGGGTACGTTGGTCTGGAATGAGAAAGGTGCTGGGGCTTTTTGTTTGTTTGGCGGGGTGGGGGGCCAGGAGGGAGTCGATTGAGGAATCTTTGGTCGGTGTGCTGACAGGATGTGGATTGGTTGGTGGGTGTTTTTGCAGGACTTTTTAACACTTTATTGGGAGTTTAGTCTCAATCTCCCAGTTCCTGGGATTACAGTTCGAGATTTCATCTATTCAATTTACATCAGCTGGGGCGTGCATTGTGGTGAGAGGGGTTGGGGGCAGGCGAGAAAGGGAATTGAAGGCTGATGGGGTAGCTCAAAATTCTCCGCATTACTTACAAACAGCTGGGTAAGGTCAAGACAGCCACGTTTTACTCCTCTACGCCTTTGGGGGTTATTGGAATGTTACTTTATGCTTCCTGAATTGGTCTTGTAATAGGGCTCAGAACATTTGAGGTGCGTTAAAATGCTCTTCAATTGGAGCATGATTTAGCAGCCATTTCTTCCCGTGAAATGTTTCAAATGCTCCTTCGGAAACTTATGTCTGTGGAATATTTTAGGCTAGGTAATACACTGTTACCAATGCGGAGATAATTGCGGTACGTAGGTAAAACAACGGACCTCTCGGTATTGCTTATTCTAGGCATCTACTAGGCGATTATGATAAGGTATCCGGCCTGATTCTAGTCAGGTCTTCTGAGGCCTAATTACAGTAAACAAAGAACTTTTGTGGGTTGTGGCATTGTGAGGTCATTTGTATCTGAAATCTGTCATATATTTAAATTTATGTTTAAATATACGTTTGCATAATGTGTTACTTTTTAAGGTCCATGCTGCTTTTAGTTTCGACTAGGGTTACATAATATACAAGTGGTAACACTTTTAATGCTCTGTTTTGTCCTATAGAGACCGTACACTAAATAACTTTATGAAAAAACACTTGGGGATGTAAGTATCCTTTTCTAATTGATGCCACTCAGTTCCTTTTCCACTGATATTTGAAAGTGATCTTTTAAATTTACATTCTAAATTAAACACTGGAAAAATTAGGGGCTTAAGCAAGTGTGGTAGCTCTACATAAGAATCATTTTTTGTTATTCTCTAGGCCAACTGTTGGATTTTTTTAAACAAATCATATTTTTCTTAAACATTTGTGGGAGCAGTTTGCATTTTTCCTGAGTCTCATTTCAGACTGAAATTGTTCCAGAGGATTGCACAGCCTGCTTCTCTCTCTCCTTCCCCCTCTGCCCCTCTTTTTAGCTTAGAATAACCAAGAAATCATAATTATGAGACTCTTATGTTATCTTATTAAAAGCTATTTTTAAGTTGAAATTGAGTATTTACCATCCCTTTATATACTTTATCATTTTATAATGGATGGTTAAAAGAAGACAATTGGTACTTTAATTAAATGCTTTTCACATTTTTTAATCCAAGCTATGTTAAAAATAAGAAACATCAGAAAATTATTGCTGAGAGCTGCAAATAATACAGGGTTAGTGCTAGTCAAAGGCTGTCTAAGTATAAAAACACCAGCAAAATAAATATTAAAAGAGGCAAAGAACCCATTTGTACTTCTGACATTATTTGCTTGATTATAAATTACCTAGTTCTAGGTGCTTTTTAAAAGAGTATCCTGCAAATTAGACATTAGGTTTTTAGCACTGATGATAAGTTTCTTTAACAAGGTGGTTCATTTGGTAAGTGACTAAATTTGTGTCAGAACTCCATTTCAGGTAGATGTAGTTAACTTGCAAGGAATGTGCTAATATATATTTCTGGAGAAATGAGCACCTCCCCATTAGACAAAACAAATACTAGGCTGTTTGAGGATATCGTTAAATTATTCCTAAAAAAAAAACCCAAAAAATGTGCTGGTTTGTTTTACCTGTAGATTCTTTCCTTCTAAAAATAATGTTCACATTTATGAATATCATAAGAGCAGGAAAGCATACAAGGTCTCTTTACTGATACGGTGCTATTACTGAATTAAAGATTTGATTTTTTTCATTGTAGGAACCAGGTTCTACATAGAGTATTTTTGGTCAGCCTCACAGAAGCTACAATGATTTCCCCACTCTTCTTGGTATTTGTATGTGACCACTGGGGGGAGACTTTACAATTTAGGTTGATTGTATCCCTCCCTCACATACACTGCTGCTAATCATCCCTGGGCACTTTGCCAAACTTCTGGAAGTGTGTTGAGGGGGATGCACTCAGAATCAAGTCTTGATCAAGGTATCTAAATGACTGTTTCTTTAACTTACACCACACTCACCAAGTACCTCTCTTTATAGATAGTGTTATTGACAATCTACTTTTTGGTCTACTGTTATATGGGCTAACTAAATATCTAACATAGTGAAAGATAAATTCATGAATACATTAGAACTTTCAAAGATGTGACTTTACTGATACTAATCTTAGAAGCAATGCAGGTTTAATTACTTTGTGTATACAGATATTAGTTGTCTGGAAAGAGCTGAAGAGAACACCACTCTTTTGTGAGGTTTACCATATCCAGACCTCTAAACTGATTGGTCTTCTATTTTAAAAAGCTTTCAGAGGAAGAGATATTGAAGCATCCCTTGTATCTAATTTCACCACATAGGGGAAGTCTTCCTTTATCATAGTAATAGAGATAAGATTAAAACTCACAATTTTCTTGACCATTAATCTCTAGCTATTCTCAGGAGGTACAGTAAAGTCAAAAAGAAGTGTAGTTTCCAATTTTCTCTTCTGACAGATTTAACCTTGTTAATGTCCAATTCAGTAACAGTGAACTCAGCAAAACAAAGGATGGTACTTTTACTGTAGCTTAGAAAAACCTTAGGTTTTTAAGTTCTTCTTTAACTAAAACCTTTGTGCAGACTTGATCATAGTAGATTCATGAAGTAGTTTCTATCATCTTATCACCCTAGATTATTCTTTAAAATGGCTTTGCATTTTTTTCCTCTTGAAAAAATTCATATCAAGTGGTAGAGCACATGCTTAGCATGCACGAGGTCCTGCGTTCATTCCCCAGTGTCTCCACTGAAAAGCCAAATAAATCAATAAACCTGATTACCTACCCCCTGCCAAAAAAAAAAAAGTTCATAGTCTACCAAAAGAGAGATTTTCTGCTTAGGAAATGTTCATTCCTGGCTAACTTCAACATTTTGTTTAATACTTAGGGAGTTGTTTCTAAAGGCCTGTCTGAGTTACCACCGATGCAAAGCAAAATGAGAGTTAAAGACAATGTAGTGAGTTTTTCAAATCCTTTTTACTGCCAACTAGTTCCTATACATGATCTGATTCCTACCTGCTTTAGCAACTTACAACTTTCCTCTTAGATCAGTTACTCCTTTCACACTGCTTTAACATTCCCCTTTGTTCACTATTACCCATCTACACTGCCTTTTTTTTTTTCCCTCAGAAATGTCATGGCTTGTTTGTGACTTAGGACTGTTCCCTCTGCCTGGAATTCTCTTCCTAAAATATAATACAGCTGGCTCCTTTTCGTCATTTTGGGTTTCAGTTCAAATATTACCTTCTCAGATAAGCATACTATCCAACCATCCTGTCAGAATGGCACCATCCTTATTTTCCTCTATCCTATTACCTTAATTTTTTTTCTGCAAACCATTTATCACTATCTGAATTGTATTTTCTTATTATTTTATTATCTGTATACTCTTACTAGAATGGAAGCCCAATTAGAACAGTGATTTTTATCTCTTTAGTATCACAGTGTATTCCAAGAACTTAGACTTGCTCCTTCCACACAGCTGTTATTAATTATAAATATTCTTTTTAAAAAATCTTAGGTTAGGTTCTGTCCCTCCTAAGGCTTTGGTGTTAAAATGTTTCTTTTTGAAATGATATGAATAGATGACACTTGAAGTAAGTAGGCTGTTGGCTGTAAGTAATAGAAATCCTTTCTAACTAGTATGAACAAAAGGTGAGATTGTAAAGATGCAGCGGTTTCTAAGGGAAACCAAGGGTTGAGACTCAGAGACTCTAGCGCCAGCAGGATATACGTCATCTCTTCTCTTTACTCTTCACTGTGCCTTTGCTTCATGTCTTCTCATGCTATAGAGGACCACTTCCTAGTTCTTTTAATGGAAAATATGGCCACTAGCAGCTGCTAAGTTTTCTCCACACCGGGCTAGACAACTGGAAACAGATTCCTCTAGCACCTATCCCTCCCCTGTTCAACAAACTATGCCATGTTGTTAGAACTTGATTGTACTTGCTGTAATAACGCAAAATAGGATTGAGCAGTCGCCGAAGTAGGTATCCTAATGATAGTTCATTTTCACACCAGAACGACCACGTCTCTGGAGGAGTTTTATCCTAGGAAAATGCTGTCAATTTAAATGAATGCGTACTTTGAGGCTACATTATAAACTTTGGTATTTTGATTCTGTATGTAGGTCTTTTGCCATGAACTAACTCCACCTAAGTGGGTATTAGAATCCTTTAGTGTGGGATAACACTAGTTCTAGGATTCTAATTTAGTAGGTCTGGTGTGGGGCCAGAGCATGTTTATATTTTTTAAGTCCCCAAGAGCCAGTATTTGTAAAATAATAACATCCTATAAAACATTCTTTTTACTAAATCAGTCAGCATAGCTTTTAAGATCCTATACCATTTAGAGAGCTCTAACCCTAGAACTTGGTCTTCTTACTTTGGTCTCTATTTTAGCCAGATTGGTAACTCTGAAAGCATCTAATTAATTTTCATTGCTTTGCTCACATTCATATTCTCCCCTTCCTTGCCCCCTTGTTTCTTCTCTGCTAATAAATGTTAAAGTTTTCCTCCCCCGAGAAGCTGTCTTTGGCTAGCCTCATCCACAATTTGTCTTTTCAGTACAGGACAAATGATAACACTGACATAACTGGTAAGTATAAGTCATATAAGAAGCTGATTCATGTGTTTGCATTCCTGAGTCTTGCACATGTATTCTCCTGTTTTACTGTTTGAACATCCTTATTTTTACTTTTTTTTTTTTTTAACCAAGAGCTTGGAGCTTAGACAT